CACTGCTTGCTGGGAAGAGAGAGGAGGAGCCGTGAGCCCAGACATGTCCTCCCCTGCCAGCTCCCCGCAGCCCTTGATTTCAGCCCATGAAGAGGGATGGGAGTCACAAGTATGGACCTGTCTCATCAAAAGCTGAACGTTTGGGTTTGGGTTTCGTCTTTATTGGGCAGGAGGAGCACGCCCAGGCTCCCAGTGCACAGGAGGAAGGGCAGGGCCGCCGTCGCCTCGCCCCCGCCGCCGTCGCCGGCCACTGACAGAGAGCAGCGGTCTCCCCACTGCCCTCTCCGCCAGCTCAGGCGGCCGGGCAGTCAGATTGTCCTCTAGCTCCTCAGTGAAAGGCGGTCCCCACTCTTGCCAACCACGGTGCAAGGGTGACGATGCCTGTACTTGCAGAGCATAAGGGCATCACGCAGATGGAAAATGGGATGTGGGAGGCGCAGGCCACAAAGTGACCCCCCAGAGCCTCCAGGTGTTAGCTGAGCTTGCTCAGGGACAGTCCCTGTGGGAAGCCAGGCTTTAGGAAAGGAATCAACACGTGGCTGCAAACAAAGACAATAACCAGAAGGACCAGGGATGGAGAGACTGCTTCTGACTGTGGTTTAGATGTGAGGTGTTTCCCAAAGCTCATGTGCGCGACTGCAAGAATATTTAGAGTTGAAATGATTGGGCTGTGAGAACCCTGACATAATCAGCACATTAATCCCGGATAGGGACTAACTAAGTGGTGACTGGAGGCGGGTGGGGTGTGCCTGGGAGAGGTGGGCTCCTGGGGTGTGCCTTTGGGCTCTATATTTGTCCTTGGTAAGAGGAGAAGTGTCTCTGCTTCCTGATGTGATGTCCAGCCTCACCTCCGGCCCCAAGGAATGGAGACAGTTGTCTATGGACTGAGACTTCTGAAACCATGAGCCCCAAATCAATTTTTCCTCCTGTAAATTGTTATTGTCAGGTCTTTTGGTCACATCATTGAAAAAGCTTATTAAAGTATGACTGTACTGGGGATTTCTGGAAGGAAATGTCAAGTTTTGAGCTCAGGTAGAGAAAAGAAACTTCTAAAGAAAGTCTTTAGAAAGAAGAGAGAAAACTATAAAGCACTAATTTAAAAAAAATGGTGGGGCAGGGGACAGAAAGGCTGTACCATGTTCTTAAAACTATATGTGGCTTTTGTACCCACAGGACAGCAGACCCCAAGTTTAATAGCAGGGGCTTCAGAATTACTTAGGGAGTTGCATTCAAACCTGGTGAGGTCCCAGGTCAATAGGCGGACAGGTTGACACACAGAATTGGGACGTTTGTGCAAGGCCAGATGACAGTGAGGGTGTTATGGTTTGGATCAAGAGTTCCTGTGTTTATGCAGGAGTGTTCAGAGATTAAATCATTGGATTGTAAGAATTGTGACCTAATCAGTCCTTTCTAGTTTGAATGGAGTAACAGGGTGGTAACTGGGTAGTTGAGGCATGACTGGAGGAGGTGGGTCACGGGGACCTGGGAAGTCCTATTTTGTTTCTGTCCCTGACTTGCTCTCTCTTGCTCCCTGGCTGCCATGAGCTGAGCAGGGCCCTTCCCCATGATGTGCTGCCTCTTCTTGGGCCCAGTGGAGTCAGCCATCTATGGACTGAGACTTCTGACTATGAGCCCCCAATAAACTTCTCCTCTAAATTGTTCTTGTTAGGCATTTTGGCCACAGGGAAAAACAAAAACCTGACGCAGAATGTCTTGATCCCCCATGGATGCCCCTGAAATCTCCTGCCTTGCCTGAGACCAGACTGTTCATTTGTGGCCTCCTGCTGCTGAGGCGGGGGGTAGGAATGGGTTCTAGGGTGCGACACCCACAGTGTTGAATCAGGCTGAATCAACGTGTGTGCGATGACAACCCCAGAACTCTCGACAACTCCCTACAAACTCTGCGCGGTACGACCTCACTGTGGCAAGGATCCTCGCAGCATGAGGCCTCAGCCCTGGGGACCCCAGCCCCGCTCAGGTGCCTGCCCGAGAGCCTCTTGCTGCCGGGAGAATTCGCTCTTTTCTCTGGCCAACCCCTGGCCTCCTTTCTTAGAGCATTTACTGAAAAGGGCTTGCAGCTGTGACTGGTCACTAACTCAGACCAAAGGGTCTCTCCTAGGGGCCTGAAAGCCTTTCCTTTGAAATGTGAGCGTCAGGGGGCAGAGGACTGTCTCCCTGTCTCTGCGGGAGAACAGAGTCCTTAGGTGGATAACTGCCACCAGCAGGCACACCAGCCTCATTTCACCACGCTGACCAAGCTCGGGGTTTCTCATGTGGCCAGGGGCCATTGTCCAGCTTTATTAGGACGAGGTGTGAGGCGGCGTGGGCTGGGCCCTGCTCTTTCTTGCCACAGGGAGTTGCTTGTGGGAGGGAAAGGGTGGCCAGGGTTCTCAGCTCCATCCTCCGGGGTGCTCTGCAGCCCCCTCCTGCTCTAGGACTCTCTGGGCAACTTGCAGGCTTCTGCAGACCCAAAAGACACAAGGGATGAGAACAGGTGGTCATCATCTAATAGGAGGAAGGAGACCCAAAGGCCCAGCCGTGGTGACGGAGATCACAGGTGAAGGGAGGAGAAAGGAGGCCCCTGGTTACCAAGGTGGGGAGGGGCAGTGATCTTGTTCAGCCCTTTGTCTTTCACAAACTTCTCAAAGATGCTCAGAGCCTCTGGGTCTTCCTCCAGGGTGCGGCCTGCAGGGCAGATGGAGGGAGGTAGGTATGGAAGGTGGTGCCCCGTCCACTGGGGCATGAGGAGAGGGAGCTTGGGATCCTGGTGGGGCTTATCTCTCCAGTCCAGATACTGTCGTCTCCCCCAGGGGATTCCAGCCACTGAGAGGACTCAAGCCCGCTGTGCCAGGGGCTCCAGGGACTGGGATGGAATCTCCCAGCACAAACCTCTCGGGAAAGAGCCAGCCAGGGGGCGTCTCCAGGCAACAACCACTTCTGCGTCTTCTTTGGGACTAGACACTTATGCCTCTGAGCTCCTGGCAAAGCTCAGGGGCCCCAGGGGCTTCCTGTCTCTGAGATTTCCACAGGAAAGAGGTGCCACTCCCCAACCCTGGCAAGCAGAGGACCAATGAACATTCCCTGCATGGGCACATCCTAGGCTCAGGGACACCGTCCCTCCAAACCCCAATCACTCCAGGAGAAACAGCCCTGAGTATGACCACAGGGGGAGCAGAAGGAGGGAAGGGGTGGGGCCTACCTGTCAATGTCCCGTCTCCATGAATCAGACCCCTGCCCCACAGAAATGCCCATCCTTGAGGATTGTCGCCGTGTGCCCTCAGCTCCTCCAGACCCCCATCACCCCCACTGCCCAGTCTCCCTGGCCCCAACCTCTCCTTGCAGACCTGGTCTCAGAGGCTGCACCCTGGGCCCCTCCAGCAATGTGCACATCACCGCAAGTTCTGTCGAGGCACCCTGCTCACACAGGGGCACTGGGCACAGACAGGGCACACTGCCTTCCTGCCCATCTCCCCCCAGCTTCCACCCCAGGAAGCCATTCCTAGGACTCTGGGACTCTCAGCAGAGAGTGATTTGTGAGCTCTTAGCCTCTCCAGTTCTCAGCTCAGGTCCTGCCCAAGACCACACTCCACATGCACCCTGTTTGGTGTGGAGGTATGTCCTGCACTGGACCAGGAGATGGGGGGACATGTGAAATTCAATCTATAAATGATCTGGGGGCACCTGGAGGGTCTGGGCAGCACCAAGGGCCTCAGCCATCATCAGGGTCACACCAAGGGCCTTTGAGGTCCATGCTTATGATCAGAGAGTGGGGCCAGTGGGCAGGCCTCCCTGTCCATGTCTCCCTGCTGCTGCCAGAGCTCCCACATAGCCATCACAGGGGCCTTATGGGTCCAGAGCCTCCCAGGGGGCTGTGGGCAGAGAAGACCAGACAGTGGGTGCAGCACACACAGGACAGGCAGGATAGGCAGGGGCTGATGGGCAAGAGCAGGAAGGGCCCACTGCGGTTCTGTCAGGAGGATACTGGGGGCCAAGCTCTGGAGAACTCTGGCGGAGACTAGAAAGGCTGCAGAGAGCTGTGAGTCTCAGGGTGGAGATGGCTCCAAGGGTTAGTGGCCAGGGACAGGGTCTCCACCTGGGCACAGCTGACCTCTAGGGAGGGGTCCTCTCCCACCGAGAGTCCAGGAGTCCCAGAAATGGCTGCCTGGGTGGGAACTGCAGATAGCTGGACTGGAAGGCACTGCACCCTGTCTGCCGGCACCCTGGAGGTTCACACCCAACTCCACACGGTCCAGAGGCTGGAGCACACCCATGAGCATCGTCATCTGGTAGGTTTGCTGTATCTTGCCCTTGAAGTAGGCAATGGCGTGATCCTTCCCTGGCAAGAAGTGGACAGAGATGGTGTGCCTCCAACCTGTGGGCAACACAAGCCACTTGGCCTTCAGGTGTCCTTCTGCAGACCCTACTGAAAGAAAGAATGCATATTTGGCCACTTACCGGTTTGAAAGGTGCCCCGGGAGGCTACATCCAGGATCATTTGGAACTGAATGCATCCTATGGGTTTCCTGGAACACAGATCCAAGCACACTTCTCCCCCTGGACACCCGCCCCCTCCTTCCCTGCTGCCTCCCACAGGGCCCCAGTGGTGAGGCCAGCCCCCACCTCCTCCTGACACATAACACTCCACAGTCAGCCTGGGCTCTTCAACTCTGTGGCCAGAGTCCCCAGGAGACCCATCTTTAGGTCCCCATGCCCCTGGAGCCTGGACCTCCAGTGCCTGGAATGGCTTCAGAAGGTCCCTTCTATAAGCAAGTAGGTCTCTTTGGGTGGCTGCAGCTGGTCAGGATCAGGCTCCCAGAAGGAACACAGATCCCAGGAAGACCCCACAGGTCCAGGCTGGATCTCTGAAGTCATCTGAAGGTTCCTATCCTAGTCCAGGGACGAGGCCAGGAGGTCCCAGCAGGCCCCAGACCCCAGGACATGGATTGCCAAGGACCCCACATCCCTCACCCTGTGTGCTCCAGGTGGCACAGCTGGAGAAGCCTGGAAGGCAGCAGAGCCGTAACCCATGCTCTGGTCAGGCAGCCTGGTGCCCCGCTGACCCAGGCCTCTGCCCACCAAGGAGGCCAGGTCCTGCCCTGGGTCCCCAAATGCTCCTCCAAACGCATCTCCCAGAAGAGAGTCCTGGTCCTGGAGCCTTGGCTCCTTACTGACTGCATGACCCCGAGCAGATCCTGAAGGAGGCGGAGGCCGTCTCTGTGCAGAAGAGTGCTCCGTGCCCACACCTGGTTTCTCCAGGAGCAAGTCACGCTGTGCTGGAGAGCTGGGGTCACAGGAGCACCTCAGAGACGCACCAGCAAGTGGGCAAGTGGAGTCCTGTGCTCAGCTCAGAGTCCCCATGAGTGTCGTTGCCCTGGTTACCAAGGGCGCCCGGCAGGTTCCCGAGATAACCCAAGAGGAGGCTATTTTGCCACTCAAGGGACCAGTTGAGATCAGGGACTGGGGGCAGGGGCGGGGGAGATGAAGGGGCCACCTGCAGGGCACTCACATGAGGTTCATCCTGAACTCCAGCTTGTTGAGCTTGTTTCTGACGAACTTGAAGGGAGGCAGCGGGTGGGTCTTCCTCTCCTCGGGAATAGTCAAGTCTCCTGCCCAGCGCACGATGTGCCAGTCTCCCAGGAGCTGGGGGAGGGGAGCCAGCTCTGAGCAGGCTGTAGGGGCAGGGGAGCCAGGGAAAGGGGTCCAGGTGGGGCTGACCTGGGGGCAGAGGCAGGAGGGATGGTTTGGGGTCTCTGCAGGCTGAGGCCTGAGGCACTCCAGGAGCCAGAGGAGGCCTGGTCAGGACATCCCCTTCCATCAGCAGTAGGCCGAGCCAGGCAGGCTGGGGCAGGGCCCTCCAGGGCAACACACCTCTGACCCGGGGCCATGCACAGGCCACCCAGAGGGGCCCAGAAAGTCACCTAAAGGACTAGTGGAACTTCATTATTAGAGAGATGAGGTAGGAGAACAAGGCAAGGGACAGAGTGGACAGAGCTCAGGAGAGTCACAGGGGACATGTTGATTCTGCATCAACTAAGCATGGCTACTCTGATAACCACGGTCACTGCTGCAGGGTGACCAGACCACAGCACTGGTCTCTGCTTCCTTCCCTTGCTGGCACCCGCTCCTCCAAGGACTGACTCACCCAAGTCCTCCAGAGACCAAGGGCAGTCAGTCTGAACTTGGGAGACAGGCACCTGACAGTGACTGGTCCTGAGCATTTGACCCCAGCAGCCTCAGCACTGGCTCCTGCCTCCTTCTGGCTCTGGGTCCCACACGCCCTTGACCTCATCAGTCTCCTTCACCCAGGGCCTCAGGGCCAAGGGGAAGGCCTGGAGTGGCTGACCCTGGGGCCTTTGCAGGGGTGCAGAGAAGATCCAGACCAGGGGTTGGGTGTGGAAAGGGCATGGAAGGGAGCTGGGTGTGGACAGAATGACCAGCAGCTGTCCAGTCCCTGAGACGGGACAGGAAGACTTGAGGGAACCATGGGGAGGCTCTGGGGGCCAGCTGTATGGACCCAGGAGTTTGACTCCTTGCTAAAGTGAGCAGGGATTCTGGGATACCACCCTTGACCCCAGGGTCTGTTTTGGACTCAGTCAGTTTAGCTCCCTGGTCAAGGACACCAGGATAAGGAGGCAGCCACCCGGCACCTTTGTCCATCAGAGGTGGGCCTGGGCTGGTGTGTGGCATCTCCAGGGCTCTAATTCTTGTCCTAAAACAAACCAGAATTTTTAAAATCAGAAGTTCCTGGACAATCCATGGTGATACAGAGGGTCACCCTGAGCCTTTCACTGGGAGACAAAACACTGAATGGAATCCTAGCTGCAGAACCAGAAGCTTCTCAGAAACCCAGAAGCTGACAAGGGAGGAAGTAAGTCTCTGGGCAGCGGGGCTGGCAAGACCCAGCCCACGGACAGTTTGGAGAGGCCTCACCCCACGGCCCCTCAAACTCTGGGGGACCTCACAGAAGGCAGGAAGGCACCCTGCTATGCTCAGCACCCCTCCTGTGCCAGAGGAAGTCACCAAGGACACAGGACAGGGCACTACAAAGGTACACCTGGGATTCCCATAGTGCACCAGTGCAGAGGTCTGACCTGGGACTCCAGGTCCCACCCCAGCCCTCCCCAGGGCTGTCACCTCCTGTGAGCTAGCAGGAGTCAGCAGAAACTTCTGGGCTCGCGCCACTGAGAGCAGGCTCAGCCCCACCGTCAGCAGGAGCAGCCGCATGGTCCCCAGGTCACCTCTGTGCTACAACTGGGGCGGCCTCAAGGAGTGAGTCTGCACTCCTCCGGGATAGTTGCGCTCCCACCTGCCCTACCCTACCGCGCCGTGCATGAGCGGAGGGAAGTCCGAACCCTGAGCCCTTCTGGCCGGCAGACATGCAGGTGCGCGCCTGGGCCCCAGCCTCCGGGGTCTGCACTCCAGGCGAGAGGAGAGACCCTGAGTCCTGGGCCCAGCAGTGGAGGCGAGGGCTTGGAGGATGCTGCGTGCTGAAGCCCAGGTGGGGAAACGGAGGCCCCAGAGTGAAAGAGGGGGAGCAGGATTGCCAGAGACCCTCAAGTGACCAGAGGCCAAAACCCCAGAACCCTGACCCTGGGATGTCTGACCTTGATCCACCGCAGCAGAGCGCTTTACAGCCATTCCTGCACATGCCCACCGGTGGTGCGTGCTGTTCCCAACCCCTTTAGCCAGAATCCTGAGGCTGTCCAGGTCACCAAGCCAGTGAGGGCGGAAGCGCCTCCCAGTGGTCCCCTGGAAAACCTAGTCGCCCCGCTCCTCCCGAAGGAAATTCCTTCCCCAGAAATTTCCCAGCTGCCTGCCGTGCACTCCAGGGGACTAAGTGTGTTCCTGCTATTCTGGCTCTGGGCTTGGTTCCAGTTGTTGTTTCCATAGAGAATCCTCTAAGCTCCTCCTCAGCGTCCCAGCCCCTGGGAGAACAGGCCTCTGTTCTTCTAGGCTGGAGGGAGAAAGCAAGACACCAGAGCTGCCCCAGCCACAGCTCCAGCTAAGCACTGAGTGCCTGCCACCTGTCCGCCTCTGCCTGGAAGCTCAGCCTCAGCCAGGAGTGACCTGAAGGAGGAGAGGCCTAGGATCTGCATTGCTGGGAAGGACGTCACAGAGAGAGAGGTGCAGAAGTGGGTGCCCTGCCCTGGAATAAACAGCATTCCTTTGCAGGTGTTTTGGGGAACCTCAGCATCTCAGGACCGCCAAGAGGCAGGCTCAGAGCCTGACTGCCCTGGGAGGAAAGGGGCTGTTTGGCCAAGGAGCCAGCGATCTCTGAAGGTGGCCAGGCTCTGGTGCAGCACTCAGCCATGCTCCGCTGGAGACCAGCCCTGGGCCTGGGGCTCTGCCTGCTGGCCGGCACAAGCCTCTGGGCCCTGTGGTAAGTTGTCCCATGGACCCCCACCCTCCCTGCCTCTGCACCTCAACCCCAAACTTTCACCACCTTAAGGTCTTCCAGGTTCCGCCAACCTCTTCTGGCACCTCTCCCCCAGGCCCAGCCCCAGCCCCAGCCAGACCTAATTAGTTTCAGCTTCTGAATTTTGCCTTGTACGGTCCTCCCACCTTTGTCCTGAAGTCTGCTCTGCCTAGACCATCCTTCTACCCGTGTTGGTGAGCAGCTCCTGTTCATGCTCCCAAGTTCACCCCCAGTATACCCTTCTGAGAAGCTCCTGGGGCTGCGCCTCACCCCACTGCTTTGTGGGCAACTGGTCAAGCCCATGCATGCCCCAGGAAAAAATTGCTATGGGTGAGCAAATAGCTACATCAGGGCCCTTTGGTGTCCACGGGGAATTCCAAGAGACCTTGTCCTAAAGACTACCAGGCTCTAGAATGACAGGGGATCCCCCAAAAGCACCACTGGTGTTCTTCACTTCCAGTAACGTGCACCACGTGGGTGTCAGCCTGGGTCAACAGGTGTCTTTCCTTCCCAGGGCCTATGTCAGGAACTGGCCGCCCGTCTCCTATGTGCCCTACTACCTCCCCTGCCCAGAGATCTTGTAAGTATGGGGCTGTGAGAATTGGGGCCCCTGGGGGCTGCTCACATTTCGAGAGACACAAGTGATTTTAGGGGCATGTTGTCTGCAGTTCCTGGGTCCTAAGCTTGTGTTCTGCTGAACTGCTGTGATGTCTAGGGATGTACGGGCTGCCACAGATGTGGCGCGAGATGGCCGCTTGAGTTGGCGCATCTTTGTGCCCTGTGTGCTTTGGCCTTATATAGGCTGCACAGCTTTAAAATGGGATGGGTGAGGGTCCCCTCCTGGGCCACACAGAACCTGGATGTGGTGATATAGCCTGGCGTTGCCCTGGTGCAGAGCAGGTGACCAGTAGACAGTGCTCTCAGGACACGGCCTTTCACTCAATGTGTTCCATGTGGACTTCAGGAACAAACTGACATTTGACTAACACCTTCCTCATTTGGCGACTCTGCCTTTTTAACAGCTAAGAGTGAACAAATGAGTTGGGACAACTCAAAGGGGCATCTGGGCCCTGGGGGCTTTTGACTCCACAGCCACAGGAAATCACACATCTGGATGGTCAGCCAGTGAGCAGCAAGGCAGGTTGCACTGTTACAAACAGTAAATTAGGGCCGTGGTCCATGGTCACTTCTGTTGCTAATTACACACCTCCACAGGCTGGCCAGTTAAAAAGAAGAGGCTTATGTTGGCTCAGGGTTCTAGTCCAAGGGCATAGGGCTGCATCAGGTCACAGCTGAAAGGCCAAGGTTCGTCGGAGATTAAAACACACACACAGATAGCAGTGACAAAGATAAAGCACTGTACTGCAAGCTGGTTCTAGCTTATATAGAAAGTGAGAGTCAGTTATCTTAAACCAGGAAGCTCCCGGGGCCAATCATAGTAAAGGTCAGATCATCACCTATAGAGCACGCACGTCCACCCTGCATAAGATTCATGGGGGGCACGAGCTGTCCACGATCACGGAAGATGGGAGGACCAATTAGAAGGTTTTCAATACAACTTGTTACCCACCCACTGGCAACTTGCCCTCCGCCATGTTGCATTAGGGGCTCCTTACCTGAAAGGCCCGGGGAGTTCTAGCCGCCCACTGGCAATTTGCTCGCCGCCATGTTTGAAAGGCCCAGGGAGTTCTCAGGGAGACTCCCAGCAACAGCCTTCCTGTGGACAGAGTTCCCAGACAGCACAAGAGGACCGTGGCGAGAGACGGGGTGCACGTGCACCTCCTGGTCTCTCACCCCCTTGTAAAGCCAGCAGATGCACTCACGGGGCCCCACCCTGGTCACCTTAAGCAACCCTGATGGCCTCCCTGAGGCCCACTGCTGAACGCCATGGTGGGCTCAGTGTCCAGCCTCTTCCTGCCTCTCAACAGGGGTCACACTCCAACACTCACACAGTGTCCAGCCCTAGCAACTGGGAAACAGAAAAGACAAAAGAAAAGGCGAGCCACCACCCACCCACCCTCCTGCCCCCACCCTGCCTATCCAGCCAGCCCACCCTCTACCACACCCCCTCTAGTGCCGGGGAGAAAAAGAGAGCCACCGTGCTGATTCCGGGGGTGGCCGTGCCCTCTCTGGTTTAAGCTCCACTCCCCTGACCACCCACAAGGCCCGCCCATGGCGGGCGCCACTTGCATTTCCTCTTCTGTCCTGGTCGTGCCTCCACCTCAGCCTTGGCGCGGAGGGCGGCTGCTCCTTCTTTCTTCCAGGTGCCTCTTGGTTCTGTTGGATGGTTCTGTGACAGACTGAAAACCTGTGTCTGTTTCAGTTCTTTCTTCCTTTGGATTCCTTTACTTTCCATTTACTACCTTCAGAGGCTTAGAAATATGAAGTGTTTGGGGTTTTTTTGTTTTGGTGCTGGGTGGTGGAACCCAGGGCCTCACTCATGCCAAGCAGATGCCCTGCCACTGAGCTGCACCCCCAGACCCAGCTTTTATGTTCCTGGGTCTGAGGCCGCAGTGTGGCTGGTGCCTATTTGTACTTGTGGAGAGAAGAGACCTGAAGTGCTGTTGTAAGAAACGAGGGCAGAGGTCCAAATAGATGAGCTGAATTTGAAAATTCATCAGTTCAAGAAGAGAGACTCAGCTGGACACAGTGGCACACGCCTAGATTGCCAGCTTTTCAGGAGGCTGAGGCAGGAGGATCCCAAGATTGAGGCCAGCCTGGGCAACTAAGTGAGACCGTGTGGGAGGCCGACTAGCACATGACTGTGTCTGTCTCCCCTTCTGAGTGGTGTGGCATTGTCGGTCACTCTGTGATCTGGTTGCCTAGGGAACCCAGACGACAGCCCCGATCTTTAGGGTTCACGTGACAGTGTCTTCGTGCGTGGGCGTGCCTTCCTACATCCCCGTGTGTGGAGCTGTGCTCCCCTGTTCCTTTGTAATATTGCCCCTTGCCCTGTTTGGGATAGAATGTTCCATGGAGACGCCTTTTGTGTGTCCCCTTCTCTTACTCTGTCCTTGGGTGTGGTCCTTCTACATGTCAACCTGCTAGTGGACATTGTGAGGATAGACTCAGCCCCCTGAAACCTGACCCCTTGCCTCATTTGAATAGCTTCTCCTCAATAAAAGGGGTCAGCGTGTTCGCTCTCATGCTCTTGCGCGCACGCTCTCGCTCTCTCTCTCTTTTTTTCTCTCTCTGCGGACCCTTAAGGTCAGAGGAGCCATCTCAGGACCCCCCAAAGAAAAACGTATTTCTGTCTCTTGTGTGGTTATTTCGCACAGCCCAGATCCCTTGGAGTGACCTTGAGTGTTTTAGTCGCCAGCAACCTGGCAAGACCCTGTCTCAAAATGAAATTTTAAAAGTGTTGGGGCTGTAGCTCAATGGTAGGGTGCTCCTGGGTTCATCCCCACGACCAAAGAAATAACAAGTAGAGACCAGTCACAAAAGGACGAGGACTGTGGGTCCACCTAAAAGAGGTCCCTGTGGTAGTCAGATTCAAGAAGCAGAGTTAGACAACGGTCACTAGTGACACGGTGGTCCTTTTCCTGGGGACAGGGCCATAGGGAGCTACTGTTGACAGGTGCCACGTTTCTGTCTGGGGTGAAGGGAACATTCTAGACACACAGAGCAGTCGTATCAGTCGGCTTTCTGTTGCTGGGACAAAAGTACCCGAGGAAAGTCCTCAAAGGAGGAGCCTTTATTCTGGCTTCAGGGTTCAGAGGTTTTGGTCCATGGTTGATAGCCGCACTGTCTCTGGGCCTGTGGTGTGGCAGGACCTCATGGCAGAAGGACTTGGCAGACCAGAGGTGCTCGCTTCACGGGAGCCAGTGAGCAGAGAGAACAGAGACGGTGGGGACAAGAAATGCCCCTCCAGGGCACAGCAGGGACTTTCCCTCCACTGGGCCCACCTGCCGGTTTCTACCACCTGCCACTAACACCATGAGCCACGAATCTACCAAGGGACTCATCCACGGAGAGGTCAAGCCTGCAGGATCCCGTCCCCTCCCGAGAGCCCCTCTCTCAACACCGCTGCACTGGGGACCAAGTGCCTTTGGGTGGCACCACGACATGGGCGTGCTTAGTGCCACTGAACTGTATGCTTAAGAATGGTTAAAATGGCAGATCTCACGTTCGTATGTTCTGCCTCATGAAAGAAAGCCCCAGACTAGGGGTGGGAGAACTCAAGGAGGCTGCAGCCATCCTCTTATGTGACCCGTCTCTGGTCCCTGACCCTTGGGACCGCCTCCTGGCTGTCTACCCGGCCTCTTGGAGCCGGTTCTACCACCACTGCTTGCTGGGCAGCCTTGGGCAGGCCTCTAACCTCTCTGAGCCTTAGCCCACTCCCTGCGGCAGGCAGAGGAGGGACAGGAGCCCGTGGAGTCAGGGTCTGGCCCAGGCCCCTCAGTCTGCTGGCACCAAGCCCAGGGCCTGGCCTGCAGCCCTGCCACCTCCTGTTACTTCTGCACTCAGTGTGACCTTTGTTGGAGCTAGTGGACACTGAAGTGGCCAGGACAACTGCCCTCTCTGAGTGCTGGTCAATGCTGGGCACGTCCTTCCTCCTGTTGGATGGCTGGCTCCTGTTCACACAGCCACTTGGGTCAGGATGGCTCCTGTTCCACAGATGAGGAAATGAGCCAGCCAGCCACGGAGACCCAGAATGGGCACCTGTGCTGGCGAGGGCCTCCGGGCAGGCTGGACTCACTGGCAGGAGCCAACCCTGAGGTCCAAGGCCACACGTCTTTTTCCTCAGTTATGTCCTTGCGATCCTTCGACTAACGTGACTAGGCCCACCGGGTTACCTAGGGCGAATTCCTTTATATAAAACCAACTGAGAGCTGGAGGTAGTGGTGCGTGTCCATAATCCCGGCTACTATGGAGGCTAGGGCAGGAGGACAGCAAGCGTGAGGCCAGACTAGGCAATTTAGTGCTTGCTCCCTCTGGCCCTGGGCAGGCCGCACCCTAGGAGCCCAAAACGAAGCTGTGGGGAGGTCAGCAGGAGTGGGCCCAGCCCAGGCAGTCCCCCTCCTGCCAGGAACTAACCTTGTGTTCTCTCTCTCTCTCTCTCACCTCTGCACAGCAACCTGAAGCTGCAGCACAAGGGGGAGGAGCCCCTCCAGCCGGTGGCACAGTAAGAGATTGTCATTTCCCCTTCCCGCCCCAGGGGGGCTGCCTCCCCTCACACTGGCCCTTCTTGGTTGCAGGCCTCTGTACCCTCAGCCCAAGCTGCTGGAGCAGAGGTAGGAGGCACAGAGAGACCTGGCATCGGCGGGGGTGGGTGACAGCACTGATTTGTAAGTTGGTGGAGGTGCTCATGTCTGGGTGGCCTGGGACCCAGTCCTGTCACTGGCTGCATGACCTTGGGCAGGTTAGCCCATGGCGCAGAGCTTCTCCTGTGCAGGGGATCACAGTAGCACTGCCCCACAGGAGGCTGGAGGAGCAGATGATACCAGCCCACGGAGTCTCACCTGGCTCCTCTAGACGTGCCCCATGCTGGTGCCAGCTCCGGTCCTCCCTGTCCTGCTGTGAGGTAGCTGGTGCCACCCCACTTTCCACATGGGGAACCCGAGACCCAGAGGCAGGCACGGGGTTGCCCCCAGTAACACAGCACAAGAGGCGGGTCAGGACGTGGCCAAGGCTTCCACCCAGGGAGGCCCTCAGCACTGGCACCTCCCCTGCCACCAGGCCCACGGAGCTGTTGACACTCACGCCCTGGTTGGCACCCATTATCTCCGAGGGAACCTTCAACCCAGAGTTGCTACAGCTCATCTACCAGCCGCTGAACCTGACCATCGGAGTCACCGTGTTTGCCGTGGGGAAGTGAGTAGGGGTTGAGTGGGCGGGCAGGTCTCCCTGAGCCACGGGAGCTCCCAGTGCAGGGGAAGGCAGGCCCTGTAGGGCACAGGTGCCAGGCCGAGGAAGGTGCAGGGCGAAGGGTGACGGGGTGGGCTTGCTGGGGCAAGGCGGGGCCTGGCATGGAAGGTGAGGTGGAACAGCCCAGGTGGAGCAGCAGGAGGCGCCGGCCTCCCTGTCCTGGCCTCAGCCCTGCCCACTCTCCTCTTCTTGACTCTACCTGGCCCTTCCTTTAGGAGCTACCACTGGGACCCTGATGGGGCCCGAGGTCTAAGGCACAGACCAGATGATGAATGGCCCCTGCGGGGTCAGGCCACCCACGCCCGCTCCTTGTACCCAGCATCCACCACCCACGTTCCCTTCCCTCTGCCACCTACTTGCTTCTCGGCTCCTTTCTTCCAGCTTAGCCTCAGTGGTGCTGCCTGTAAGATGAGCACTCCTGTAGGCATCTATGAGAACATCACGAGACTCTCGGAGAACATTGGCACTTGTAGTAAGTGCACAATGAAAGACAGTGTGTTTAACCAGTCTTGGTGGCACCTGCCTGTGATCCTAGTGGCTCAGGAGGCTGAGGCAGGAGGATCAAGAGTTCAAACAGCAAGGATCACAGCAATTTAGCAACACCCGGTATCAAAGTAAAAAATAAAAAGGGCTGGGGATGCGGATCAGTAGTAAAGCACCCTGGGTTTAATCTCCAGTACCAAAAAAAAAAAAAAAATTAAAAAATAAGACTCTGCAGTCGGGCTTTCAGGTGGGGAATGCTCAGCTGAAGTAGGATTGTGGGCACTTGACAGACGAGAGCCCAGGGTCACCTGAGTGACGGTGGGAGGGAGGCAGCCAGCAAGTGGACCCCGGCCTGACAGCCCAAAACCTGTGGCCCGCATGATGCCAGCACATGGTGGGGACCAGGCCGTGGCCCTGAAGGGCAGCAGTGGATGGCAGGATTGTCGCCACCAGGTACACCCTCTTTGTCCAGCACTTCCTGGACTCGGCCGAGGAGTTCTTCATGCGTGGCTACCGCGTGCACTACTACATCTTCACCCACGACCCTGCAGCCATTCCCAGGGTCCCGCTGGGCGCTGGCCGGCTGCTCAGCATCATCCCCGTCAGGCGTCACTCTCACTGGGAGGAGATTTCCACACGCCGGATGGAGACCATCAGCCTGCACATAGCCAAGAGGGCACACCGGGAGGTAGACTACCTCTTCTGCCTTGATGTGGACATGGTGTTCAGGAACCTGTGGGGTCCTGAGACCTTGGGGGAACTTGTGGCTGCCATTCACCCTGGCTACTTCACTGCCTCCCGCCAGCAGTTCCCCTACGAGCGGAGGAGAGCCTCCACTGCCTTTGTGGCCGACAGCGAGGGGGACTTCTATTATGGTGGGGCAGTCTTTGGGGGACGAGTGGCCAGTGTATATGAATTTACCAGGGTCTGCCATATGGCCATCCTGACAGACAAAGCCAATGGCATCATGGCCATCTGGCAAGAGGAGAGCCACCTGAACCGCCACTTTATCTCACACAAGCCATCCAAGGTGCTGTCCCCGGAGTACCTCTGGGATGACAGGAAGCCCCAGCCGCCCAGCCTAAAGCTGATCCGCTTTTCTACAGTCAACAAGGATACCAGCTGGTTGAGGAGCTGACAGCAGAGCTGAGGCCACCATGAATGGGGACCCAAAGCCCTGCAGCCACCTGCCCCTGTCCAAGCTTTAGATGGGAAGCAGGCCTGTCCTGCCTACCTCCAGCTACCAGGAGATTCCAGCTGGGAAAGGGGTGAGGGAGGCGCACCCCTGATGGTGCAGTGGTCTGGCACAGGGATCGCGGGAGGGGAAGAGGAAGCGGTTAGAGAGATGGGGCCCGCAGTTTGCCTCATCCAGCGGGTGCACCTTCAGACAGACAGGCCCTGGCGTCTCCACCCCCCTGGCGTCTCTGCCCCCTTGAGGGCCTGAAATCCTGCCAGGTCCCCCGAGGTGCATATGGCCCTTCAAGTTGCAATTTAACACCACTGTGTGAAAGGCACATGGACCCCTCTCTCTGGCTGCCTGGGTATCATGATGTCCCCTCAGCCATATGCAGCCAGTTCCTCATTTGGGACCCTCGGAAATGGACCTGGTCTAGGCTCCCTCTGGGTTCCTGCAGACATTGGGGAGCCACTCTCACGGAGTAGCCGCGGCCTCTGTAATAGTTTTCAATAAAGGGGGCACATTGCTTGGCCCTAACCAGAGTTACCTGACACTGTTCTGCAGACTCCAGGGATACACCAGGCGGACAGTTATTCCAGAAGATCCAGGCTAAAGCTGGCTGCTGCCACCGGCAGGAGCTCATTCTCCTTTTCTGGGGAGCCAGGGAGAAGTGGGAGCCCTCAGAGGTTTGCTGCAACCCTGCATGGGCGGGGACAGGCTGAGTGGATCAGCAGGAGAACCCCATGGGCTCTTGTCCCTGAGAACAGGGATGTGTCTGTCACCCTCCTGTATCCAGGGTCACCTCAGCCCTGGAAGCCACTGGTGGGCATGGGGTTCCAGGGCATTGGTGCAGGCCAGGAGCAGAGAACCTGTTGGGGCACTGATCCAGCATGAACCCAGGGGGGCCTGAGGCCCACAGCCATCTGTCTGCCCAGCCAGGCAGAGATGGGCTGGGTGTGGGCTGAGGGCCACTTCCCTGGGGCAGCAGCATCTTCTCTGTGGATGGAGGAGACATGGAGTAGGTGTGGGGTGCACTGTGGTCATCCGAAAACAGTCAGATGCTCTGTAACCTGCCCCCTGAGGCCACTCTTCCTACATCACCTGTAGTTTAGCCAGCAAGCAGGGACAGATCCCAGATGGTGGGCAGGTGGAGTCACGAGTGTGAAAACACAGCATGGGCTGGAGAGGACCCAAGTTGGGAGAGGCCCTGGCTCTTCGGGTCGAGAATGGACCATGGCCTCTCCATCCTGAGAGGGAGTGTGCCCGGGCTGCCTGGGCTGGGAGAGCTCTGTGAAAAGCCACTTGTCTGCAGCAGGAGGTGGCTCCTGGATGTGAAGATGGGGAAGGCCTCATGAGGAGGGGACCCTGGGACCTGGGCAGGTCAGCCTTGCAGGGGAGACGCTGCTCCCAGCTTATGCCAGCCTTGCTCTGGGTCCATGCCAAGCCGTGGTGCCTAGCCAGACCTAGCTATGGGCCTTCTCAACCTGGGCCCAAGCCCCTGGGCACACTGGCCAACCGTGGTCCTGAGCATGGCCCTCAGACACAACCTGAGAGACAGAACCCAACTCCTGGAACCAAGCTACAGATCTGGCTGCTCTCCAAAAAGGAGTGGAGACTGGGCCAGCATAAGGAGGCCAGGGACAGCGTCCCACCTGGCAGGATCAGATCTAAGCTCCCTTTAACTACAGGTGCCAGATTTGCAGGCAGCATGGGGTTCTGTGGGCTCTGAAGCTTTTTAAATTGCAGAGGAAGCACTTCAAGAAATAGACATTGCAAGTGTCTAAGGACCACGGCCAGAGGCCCCATGAGCTTAGACTTCAGCCCCTTCATGGCCTGCAGGATTACATCAGATACAGTCCAACATCATCGTTTGCCCCACAGGGCCTGTCCCACACACCTGTGGTCACACTGCCCACAGATCAGGCCAGCACAACCCACCACTGGACCAGTTCCCTGGGACCTGCTCCTGATACCACCTCCTCAGGGAAGCCGGCCTGGATCTGTGCTCCCCTCCAGAGTGGGCACCTTTCTGCTTCCCGTTCACCCTCCTCATCCTGTGTCATCATTTTCAGTGATATTGTGCCCCTCCCACCCTGTTCCCAGGCAGTAAGCTCTGAGAGGGCACTGGTGGGCCATGGCCAGCTGGGTTTCCCCCGTAACCAGCACCCAGGAAGCACTCCATGACCGTCTGCTGCATGCATGACAGGGGTGGGGGACTGAACACTAGTTTAGAGCTCTGTCCTAGAGCCTGTGGGATACTGGGCAGGTCACTCCACCTCTCTGAGACAAGGGGCAGGAGTAAATCAGATTATGGCTGGGAGGCCTCTGAGCACCCACCCTTCTTGGGCAGCTGCCTTCATGTGTTGCCAGCTCTGGGACACCCTAGTTAGCAAGAGGGCACTGAGACAGGTGCTCTGAGTCCATCTTGGGTGGGTGACGTGTCTACTCAGCCCCTGAAGCTCTACAAGGCCACAGTTCCTAGGAAACTGCCTGGATGGGGTCCCCTGGCCCCTAATCTGCAGTGAGCCCTGTCTGAAATTGAATCCTGTGCATCTGGCCCAGATGTTGTCCCCAGGGGCACCCACACCCCAAGTTCCTTCCTGGAGCTTTCCTCACCCAGGGGGGCTCCCCAGGCCCTGTCCCTCAAGTCCCCATCAACGGGGGACTCACACTGGGCTACAGGCCACCTTCTCAGCTCCTATGTGGAGTTCACCCTTGAGGTCTGCTGCCCTGAGGTCCACACTGGACCTGCACAGCCCTGAGATAGGCTCCGGATGACTTCTCAGAGCCTCAGTTCCCTTGATCAAAATGAGCCAGTGACTGCCCCCATAAGAGCGTGCTGGGAGTAAAGCAGGGAGACAAAGGTGCCCAAGAGGCTGGACCCAGGAGGTCCCCTGCGTGACATCCCTGTCACCAGACCAGACAGACGGAGCCTCTGTCCTGGATGAGTGATGAAGAAGAGAACTGCTTCCTAATCCCCCACCCACAGCTGGTGTGGTCACTCAGAGCTAAGTGGCCTTGAGTGCTTATGGCCCCAGGTTTCCCTAGTAACGTGAGACCCACACCAGCCCAGCACCAGTTGCAGATCCCCTCCTCCCAGGTTCCCAATTGTCCCCTTACACCTATGGGACAGGCTGGATCTAGTCGTGTCACAGAAGGGAAAGGATGGGCGAATAGGAGAGGAGGGGGCTACCTGACCTGACCTGAATCCGGTCTCCTCAAGTCCCCTGACCCCAGCCATCCACCCAGCAGGTGGCACTGGGTACGCGCCTGACAGGGTGAGGGTGTATAATTGGCGACTGCAGGCTCTGCAGGGGCACCCAGCTCAGCAGTCCCCACCTGGCGACGGTGACAGTGGTCCTAGGTCGCAGAGGGTTGGGGAACAGCGAAGGCGGCTAGGGCGGAAGGACATGTGAGACCCGCCAAACCAAGCACTCGGTGCATGACGCGTGCGCGGCGCGAGGCGGGGTCACGTGCGCGCGCCGCCCGCGGTCCCGCGCAGGCCCCGAGTGCGCGCCAGGCAGTGGACGCAAGGCTGGACGC